TATTCTACTGTTGGTAGACATTTCAGTAGTCTCAATTTGCAGCTATTACAATTAATGCTACTATGAACATTCTTGAACAAGTCTCTTGTTAAACATATATGCATATTTTTGTTGGGTATATACTACACCTAGGGCTAGTATTACTGGGTCATAAGATATTCCTATGTTCAGCATAAGAAAGACTGCCAATCCATTTTCTAGAATGTTAGCACCAACTTATATTTCCACATCAAGTAGGTAAGAGTTCTAGATACTTCATATTCTCATCAACAGTTGATGTTTTTCATCTTCTGGTGGGTGTGATCACATTGCAATTTGAATCTGCATTTCCCTATGACTCTTAGAGTTGAATACCTTGCATATGGCATATGCTTTCAAGCTATTTGGATATTCCCTTTTATAAAGTATCCAGTTCAAGTACTATCCCATTAGTCTTTTTTTCTTAAGTCTATTATTAGTGTTAGGTTGACTCAACCTTAAAAAGTCCTATCCCTAACAGCTACGCACAAATTAACTCCAGACCTAAATATAAAATGTAAAATAACAAAGAATCAAAAAATAACAAATAACAGGAGAGATTATCTTCATGACTTGGGCTAGACAAAGATTTCATTTAAATGACACAAAAGTAGATCATGAAACATTATTAAAATTAGGATTCCTTGGTTCATCAGAAATACTATTTTTTTGGTGGGGGAGGGGACAGAGTCTCAATTCTGTTGCAGCAACCTCAAACCCTGGGCTCAAGCAATCCTCATGCCTCAGCCTCCCTGAATAGTTGGGATTATAGGTGTGCATCACCACATATGGCTAGTTTTTCTATTTTTAGTAGGGATGGGGTGTCGCTTTTGCTCAGGCTGGTCTCCAACTCCTGAGCTCAAGCAATTCTCTTGCCTCAGCCTCCCAGAGTGCTAGGATTACAGTCTTGAGCCATCCTTCAAACCATGCTCAAATAAAGCAAAGGCTGGCCAAAAAAGTTATTAAAAAGATAAATGGGCCAGGGAGAGGTGGCTCACACCTGTAATCCCACCACTCTGGGAGGCCGAGGTGAGTGGATTTCTTGAATTCAGGAGTTCAAGAACATCCTGACCATCAGCAAGATCCCCATCCCTACTAAAAAATTAGCTGGGTTTATGCCAGGTGCTCTAGCCTGGGCAACAGAGCCTCAAAAAAGACTGGGCATGGTGACTCATGCCTGTAATCCTAGCACTTGGGAGGCCGAAGCAGGTGGATTGCCTGAGTTCACAGGTTTGAGACCAGCCTGAGCCAGAGCAAGACCTCGTCTCTAAAAATAGCTGGGTGTTGTGATGGGCGCCTATAGTCCCAGCTACTCAGGAGGCTGAGCTAAGAGAATTGCTTGAGCCCAAGAGTTTGAGGTTGCTTGGAGCTATGATGACACAGCACTCTACGAGGGTGACAAAGTGAGACTCTATCTCAAAAATAAACAAATGAAAAAGAGGATATCCAAGTGGCTGATAAGCATATAAACAGATGCTCAGGCTTGGCATCTGTGGCTCGAGCGGCTAAGGTGCCAGCCACATACATCTGAGCTGGCAGGTTCGAATCCAGCCTGGGCCCGCCTAACAACAATGATGGCTGTAACCAAAAAATAGTCAGGCGTTGTGGTGGGCACCTGTGGTCCCAGCTACTTAGGAGGCAGAGGCAGGAGACTCGCTTGAGCCCAGGAATTGGAGGTTGCTGTGAGCTGTGATGCCATAGCACTCTACTGAGGGCAAGAGTTGAGGCTCAAAAAAAAAAAAAAGATGCTCGCAGTGAACTGTGGTTAAATGTAAGTTTAAACCACACACCTACAGGGGTTGAACTGTGGCACTTTTGGTAATCTCTCTTGTTCTATTTACCATATGTAAATTGAGGCTATTAATGCTTATGCTCGGGAATTTATACCCTGAGATGGAATAAGTGAAACAAACAAACAAAATAATTAGATGATTATGTACTAAAAGAGTAAATTACATACTGAAGATCCAGAGCTAGAGATACAGTGACCATATTTTTTACCCCAAACCACCATAAATAGACTTACCAAAATATTGGTAAACTTTCCACATCACAAGTTTTGTCTTGCTCCTTGTCACCTCCTCCTTATTCCAGGGTGTATGCTGCTGACAGATTAACACATCGATGAGAATCTCTGTTCATAGAGGGACACAGATCAGACACTTAAATTGCCCATTACCAGTCTTTGGCCCCATATTATCTCTCACTGCCCCCTTTCAGAAGCTTAGTCCAGCTCATCTGCCATTGCAAACAGTCTCTCTCCAAATAACAAGTACCACTGAGCTTAAAACACTTAGCTAAAAACATAATCTCACTTAATTCTTGTAGCAATCCCACCAGGTAAGTATTGTTCTATTGTTTTCTTACCTAAGAGATCATTCCCATTTTATAGGAAACTGAGGCTTAAGAGTGAATAAGCTGGCTCGGCGCCTGTGGCTCAAGAGGCTAAGGCGCCAGCCACATACACCTAAGGTGGCGGGTTCAAATCCCCAGCCCGGGCCCGCCAAACAACAATGATGGCTGTAACCAAAAAATGGCCAG